TTGAATGCTCGAAATCACGTGAAAATCATCTGGGAGTGAGGGAAAGTTGTCAAAAATCCCCGTCAGAGTTTCAAGATTTCTTTTTCATTTTCTCTCCTATCGAATCGCATTGTCGTTTATCGTATGAAATCAAAGGCAATCGGTTCGCAAAGAAGGGGATCGATTCGACTGATCTCCAAGTGAAGCGCACACGTATTTGGCGCGAAACTCTACCGAGTATCCTCTTCGCGGTCTCCCGTACCCGAAATACCCGGAACTACGGGGGATTACAATTACCGGGAGTAACTCCCTCAAGGGGAGACAATAAAAATGGCTCGGCGTCGCGCTTCAAAGATCAAACGGCTCGGACGAGGGGAGGATAAAAAAAGGACGCACCGCAATACGCGGAATGGGTTGATCCTGGCGACATCTAGACCCGATGATAGTCGGATGTCGCCAGGAAGAAACCGGCGGGTTTTGCGGGAACATTGTCCCTCGTCGGTCACGGGACATATAAGGACACCCGGCCTCCTGCAGGACCTCGAAGGCCAGCCCCCCTTCTAGGGACGCTCCCGGGGGACTTCTCGTAAATCACGTGGCTCCGGTTCCCCGAGACTGCATTCGAGGATGCTCCGCGACTAAACTCTCGCTCTCTTTCCCCGTGGCACATTCGTCCCGGATATCCCGACGCTTTCTCGAGAGAATATCCTGGATGATGAAGTAGGTTTCCGAGGCTACTGGGAGAGACCTTCTGGGGAAGGAAGGCCGGTTGACCTAGGTTAAGGTTATACGAAAGTGGCGTTTATGAGACTTTCCTCCGGACTGGGGGTATCCAAATGGTTAGTTTCATGTCTAATGCAGAAATTTAAGAACTGTCTATACAACAAAGGTTTAATAAAGCATTAAAAAGGGAATTCATTTCATTTATAAGGGGTCAGTTTATGAAATTTTCCTCCGAACTGAGTGTACCGAATCGATTTATTTTACGTCTCGTGGAGAAAGATAATAATTCTCTATACAGCAAACGTTTAAAAAAGAGTTTATTTCATTTACAAGGGGTCAGTTTATTAAACTTCCCACTTGAAATCGACGATTTTCGAAATTAAAAGTCAACTGGGAGCATCATGAATAGTTTATTTTATTGCGGGGACAACCGACCCACGTCAGGAGGAAATAGTTGATTTTTCATTTAGTAGTAGAATTTATTCATCCCTGTCCCTGCACAGTTGGAAGTTACGCTCCGACCATTTCGTTACAACTGACCTACGCCACCGTGAAAAGATTTAGTACTTCAATATAAAATCCATTTTTCTTTTTTTTTTTTTAACATTTCCCCTTGACGCAAAAGTTTCGTTACGTTCACATCATTACGTTGTGCGGTATTCCTGCGTTTTCCATTTTTCACAAGTTCAATTGTGACCGTTTTTATCTCGAATGCCATTGTCATTCTTGCGCTACGAGTCTGGTTCTTCGGGGTATTTAAATGGACTTGGTCGCGTAATTTAAAGCACGCGTCCGAAGAGAAAAAAAAAAGAAAGAAATTGCGGGGTAAAAGGGTGAAATTCTGAACGAGAGAGGTACAATCGCGTGGCAGGACTATTTAAAACGGAGTCGATGGGGACTTTTTTCTCCTTTTTGACGGATGCACAGTTGCATCGTCCAGGATCCATTGACCCTGAGAGGCTGTATTTCCGTCCCGTGAGAATGCACGACTCGCCGCGTGTCTTCTGCGACGATTCGGCCACGAAAAAGGAGAACCCATCGAGGAACGGGAACAAAAAGACCGAGAAGCCCTCAAGAGCAACTCGAGATGAGCAAAAGGAAGCGCCGACCGAAATACATCGCCGGTGTCGACCAGGAGCACCCAGGAAGACTCACCAGAAGTGCTCTCTTGAACCGCGAAATCGTCGACTGGACTTCGATATCTCGGGGTTTAAAAAAAGAAAATAAAAGAGCGACTCGTTATTACGAATAATAATATGCTTAACCTTAAAATTTATATTCACCTTCACACGCCATGCATCACGAATGCAAAGTATTCAGCCGGATTAAATGTTAAACCATTTGACTACTAAGAGCGCCTAAAGGCGCCCGACGTTTGGTCCATTATTGCCTGCACGGTCAGACGAATTTCGCCCATATGTCGAAATGGCTCCGTGTTCAAAGGGTTAAAAGGAGAATTCAAATTCAGGTCGCAAATTAATTAGCGACGTAGAAATTGCCGTTTAAATTTAGAAGATTCGTTTCTCCGAAAAAAAAAAGAGAGAGAGAGACTCCGTGCAACAAATATAGCGGATATTTAACTGGACGTAATGTCCCTTAATTGAAATGATTTAGTGATTGTGGCAATTGAAATCGCATTCACATCGTCGACGCATAACATGCGCAATGGGTTCAACCGGAATAAAAATTCGAAGGAGCTAAATTAACATTCTGACTATAAATGAATATATAAAAATTGTTTATATTAATGATTAATAGTTGTCATTTAAAAATCGAAAAGCGAAGCTTATTTCTACGACCGACAAGTTATATTTAATTGGACGGGGCTTCCCTTCGTTTAAATCATTTCATCGTTGAGGTCATTGGAATTATATTGATCATTTCATTGATGCCATTCGATGCATCATGGATGCAAAGAGGAATTAACCGGATTAAACCATTGGAGGGCCAATTGATATACCGCCTGTGAATTAATTTATATTAACGTGGCGCATTACGTGACGGTGGCGGTGAGAGTACATACACACGTTCGAGTTATAATAACCCGTCACATGCAGGTGACAGATGTTATCCGAGAGTAAGGGTGAACGGACGGGCCGACGATATATCGCGAGGGGAAATATTGATGATAAAAAAATATTGAGGGGGATACGAACGACCAAAACCCTCCCGCAATTTCCCTCCGACGAGAAATTAAATGAGAGCGGCCACAGAGGTAAAAAATCGCGACAGCAGCGGAAATTAATTCCATAAAATTGGCTTTTACATTCCGACTTAAAGGTAATCACGCTGTTATATATATATTTATTTATTTAAACCGTGAGATGACAATTGACAACGCAGAGACAAATGATGCCGCGTGGCAATAATAAAAATCGGTTTACATGTCCGTTGCGAGCAGAAATTATTTATCGAAATCAACAGGTTTTCATATAGATCACGTATGGTGTTTTTTTATTTTTTTTAATTATATTATTCATAGTTGATAACAACCACGTTAAGATTGCATTAGTTCCTTAGGCATTTAGTCGCGTTATTTCAAATGACTTTTTTTGGCGTTATCGCACTCGTTTTTACGTTTCTCGAATCCCATTTTCAACCCCTCATCGGATCGCACTTTGCAACTTTTGTTTGCAACATTTTCATAAACAGGGAGACTTTACCCCCGGCGCGGTTAAAAATGGAACGGGGAAAACAATGAAATCCGGGATAATCCCCATTTCCTTTTTGTCGTTTTGCGGACCACATTGCGGGTAACTCGGTCCAACATTTTTTTTTTGCAACATAATCAGTAGTTTTGCTGTTCGTGGTCGTACCTTTCTCGGGGAATTTCGTTCCCACGAAAGGGGTGCCATTTTTCATTTTGACATTTAATCGAGTCGGCCTTGTTTGCTCGGCATACATCGACGCGACGTAGGGGCTTTTAATAATTACGAATTACGCTCTATTGTTGACATTCCCACACACTGAAAAAGATATTTCCTTGAGCAATGCTCGTTCGGCTCAAATGACAGGGTTTCGGTAAAAAGTGCACGTAAAAGTCCCAAGAAAATATTTCTTTTCCATCCAAAGAAATGATAATATCCCGCGAATTTCATTCAGTGCAATAAATAACTCAGAATATTTTCTTCGATCGACCGAAAGAAATGGTTTCTCAGATATGAAAACGTATTTCGCTTTATTGAACTGAGAAAAGAAAACGTCGTGAATAAAAAACAAAAAGGCTTTTATTTCTCTCTCAAAGAAATTATTTCATTGGAAGGAAAGAAATGAAACGTATAGTTTCCATCTCTACTTTATTATTTTAAGACATGAAGCGTTCTCACGTTAAATATTCGGAATGTTTGTAACAAAGACTATATCCCTTTGATTTTATGCCACAGTTTCATTAACTCCATTCAAAGAAATCATTTCTTTGGGAAAAAAAAAAATTCTTCTCAGCGTGCGTGTATAGAGAGAGGGTTCCTGGTGGACCGTCCACCCCTATTTAAATTGAGGGGAATGGTTTATATGGAAATATACATATATATATATTTTTTATTAATAGGGCCGACACGAGCACGGTCTGCGGCCAACAAACGGGACTAAATGTAAAGGGTGAAAAGGGGTGATTTTGGGGCGGATTCGGTCCAAGGGTTCTCCACAAGGGAGGGCACGTGTCCTTGAAAAGGACCGCAGGAACGAACCCTTTGGCTCGATAGCGGGATCAGCTGCATCCGGCCAGGACTGTCAATGTTTGACAACTGGCGAACAGCCGCGCCCTTCCTGACATCCCCGCGAGGAATCCCCGTCGAGAGGATAGAAGTCCTTGCGGCACATTTTAAATTCCAAAAAAAAATTCTTCACATGTGCCCGTCATTTCTTCACTAGTTCTAAATTATCGTACGATGACAAGAATAGACTCGAGCACGTACGCTGAGAAAATAAACGAAGTTCATTGAACCGAAGAAATACTACCAAAGAAATATTTCGTTAATTCAAAGAATAATCATTTGGCTCGGATGAAATCAAATTAATTGCCATCATTCGAAGGAAATGTTGCGTTCAATTTATAGGAGATGAATGTAAGAGCATGAAAAATGATGAAATAAAATGATTACGTCGGGTACCCTCGTGTCTCCGATTTCCACGATTTTTATTCTCAGGTGTTACCACTTTCTGGTAGAGTATCGAAGAACGGAATTGATAAAGCGTTCTTAAATTGTGGGTTTATTTAAGACTCCTTTTATTTGGAGAGGGTTGGGGCACGGATTGGTACTTATCCCCGGGAAAGAAAAACGAGAGAATTATCGGCTTACCCTGTTGGGCTGTACGTGCCAGCTTCTCCGTTTTCCGTGTCTTTGTAGGCCATCCTCGGAGAGGGTAAGGTCAGCTCTGCTGCCTGCCAAGCAACCCCCTGTATCGTATTGACCCACCAGGAGTCGTAACCGATTCCCTGGACAGATGCCCTGAAACGTAAATAAACGCGTATTAACTACCAATCAGAAATTATGATCAGTTATTAACACTAGAACTACCACGACCGGTAAAAATAACTGCTTCGAGATGGTTCATCCCAGGGTTGGATAAGTATTAAGGTAATAGTATTAATAATCTTAAAAAAAAAAAGCGTCTCTTTCAAATCGACTGATTTTAGAGCGAGAGACATCACCTTTAGAGTATTCACGAAATGAAAGATCGCTAATACAACAATTATTTAAGGTGATATGTTATCATCATGAAGCTTTTCTCCTAATTGGATGAACCTAATCGTTTCAAACTTCACAATCTGAATGTGAAGGTTATAAGGAAGGTCCTGACACTGATGAAATATAAGTTTTCATAATAACAAAAAATGTTTAAAATGCCCGTAAATTAATTTTCTTTCTAAATTGAAATTTCACGGACCTTCCTTATGGCCTTCATGTTGTAAAATTCGAAACCATTCGGTACACCCAGCTCGAGTTACTTAATCATTTTGAATTTAATCGTTTCAAACTTCACAATCTGAATGTGAAGGTTATAAGGAAGGTCCTGACACTGATGAAATTTCAGTTTTCATAATAACAAAAAATGTTTAAAATGCCCGTAAATTAATTTTCTTTCTAAATTTAAATTTCATGAACCCTCTTTATAGCCTTCATGTTGTGAAATTCGAAACTATTCGGTACACCCAGTTCGAGTTTCTTAAACCAGACCTCTTTAGCGCCACTTTCACGTCACCTTAATTAATGCTTAAGTCTCTCTATTAATTATAATAAATTAATATCAGGACAGTTGTCTTACCTGCCTGCCTCGAAGAGCGCAGAGCCACCAGCCCTCGAGGCCTGAAGTGTTCTGCTCCAAAACTGTAAGGACATCCCCTTTCCGGAACGCCAATTCGTCGGGCGCCTCGGCGATATTGTCGTACAATGCTCTCGCCTTGACACACTTCTGCTGAAACAAAACGGAAAAGGTTAACAAGGCGCCAACAGCCTTAATACCACTCTGAAATTCAAGCCGCAACAATTAGAAACCCGGCGTATACATTATGGCGCCCTTAATCGGGGATTTCGAGGAACATCTTAAAAGAACATCCGAACATATCATTTACGTTTTNCGTTTACGACTTCGACTCTGAATAATTAAGGTGATATGAAAGCGTGATGCATACATACCGAAAAGTCAAAATATTTATAAAACTTTACTCTAAACTGGATGCACCACATCGTTGGAAATTTCAGCATGTGATTATGGAGACCCTAAAAAAGAACGTGATGTTCATGAAATTTCATTTCTAATGCAAAATTCTTTTATTTATCCCAGACTAAAGTCAAGAATAGATTAATTTAATGAAATTTCACGAACACCACGTTGTTCTTTAGGGCCTTCATAGTGACGTACTGATGTTTCAAATGATTCGGTGCACCCAGTTTGGAGAAGAGTTTTATAAATGTTATTACGTTTCATATATATAGAATGACCCTTTCATATCACCTTACGGTGTTAAAATGAATAATTTGTCGAGTACCAGGATTTATTATTCCAACACCTTTTACCGATTAACGGCTTGAGGATCGACATCGACTCTCGGCGACGCAAAAGGACCGTGTATAAATATTTCCGAAAGGGTTCTCTCGTTAAAACCCGCGTTTTCCTATTTTCTCCCTTTTCTGTAAAAGTCGTATCGGAGGGAAATTGAGGGGGCTAAATAAATGGGGAAAAAAAAATCAATTTCGTCGCACGGGAGCGCATTGGTTCCCAGGCGATCCGGAGTCGCGTTTTGCCGCACAATCGCGGGATAAGGAGCGCGTACGCGGAAACGCAGCGGAATGCGTGACGTGCGCGTGGGGCTTCAACTTTCAAGTGGGTTCAATTGAAATGCAGAGCGTCGTGTCGTGCCTGCCTTAGCTACCGTCCCGGTCCGATGCGATCGCGTCGCTCTCGTGGAAATAAACAGTGACGTCACTGGCGCGACTGCGAGATTCTTCCAGGGATTCCTCTCGCCGGTCGCAGGCCCACTAAGCGAGAAAACGGGGAAAGAGAGACATGTGATCGAATACGCTAAACGTATGGCATGAAGATTAATCAAGACTTCAATGCGATGGTTAACCGCAGGTTGGTCCAAAGCAAGATGGCGGCTGCGGCGTTGCGTAAAGTATTTTCCTAGCCGGGAGAAAAGTAAGAAATCCTTCCAAGAGTAAGAAATTCTTACAAGGTGTATAGAAACGCACTGTATAGATTTATTCTCCTTCACATAGCTCTTTTCTATGTCGCGGACGATTCTTAAACCAGAAACTGTCCGTTGCGTCATGTAGAAGAGCAAGATGGCGGCTTCCGGCGCCAGCGACGCGCCGCGTTCGTTGGAAATTGGTCCTGACGTCACCGGCGCGACTGCGAGCTTCTTACAGGTATTTCACACGAGGATCACGACTCATTGAGTAAAGAAATGGGGAAAGAGCAACGTGTGCTCAAATACTCACTACAGGTTAATCGCAGGTTGCCACAAACCAAGATGGCCGCGGCGCTGTGTCGATGCGACCACGTAGTTTTACGTAAATTATTGTCCTATTCGAGGCAATAGGGAAAACTGCATATAGAAATCCTCTAAAGATCCGTAATAACATGCACTCATTTAATACAGCACCTCTAGCCCGCGTTCGACTTTTTAAACCATAAACTGTCCGTTGCGTCATGTAGGCGAGCAATATGGCGGCTTCCGGCGCCACCGACGCGCCGCATTCGATGGAAATTGGTACTGACGTCACCGGCGCGACTGCGAAAAACTCTTCCAGGGATTCCGGGCGCGTGTTATTGAGCGAAGAATCGGAGGAAGGAGAATAGTACGCGTTAAATTCTTAAGAGATGGTCAGACGGAAGTCGCGACGACCACCGACCAAGATGGCCGCCGTGAAATCACGGGGGAAGGTTCCATCGATCGTTCCAAAATAAAGAGTTATTCCCGGCAACATTATCGACTTCTTACGGCACTACGAGCACGCGGGAGTTATCATTGTAATCGGTAGCGATCGTCTTAGTCATTTTGTCCTCCTTCGTCAAATAACGCGTCGTCTTCAAGGTACACCTTGAGGCGATTAGTGAGTGATCACGGCGCAGCTTCCGTGCGTAATTAAAGGAGGTGCCCGTCTACATCAGGCTTAGCCTCGATGCGCACATCTCCGGAGCGTCTAATCGGAAACTGATTAGGAAGCATCTAATAACGTTAGACAGGCAATCCGAGGGGATCGAGGAGAGAAAATGGACCCCGACAGGAGCTCCGGGTAGTGATTACGTAAATGTGCGTTTCAGGGTCCTACCGGTTACGTCACCGATGACGGTGCGTTCCGCACTTTGGGAAAATTCCGCCCACCCGGTCTGGGCTACTCTTAAGGTACTATGAAAGTGTCATATATATATATATATATGCCAAAAAGTCAAAATATTTATGAAACTTTTCTCCAAACATCAAACTCTTAAGGTAGTATGAAAGTGTCATATATATGCCGAAAAGTCAAAATAGTTATGAAACTCTTCTCCAAACTGGGTGCACCGAATAATTTAAAACTTTAACATGTGATTACATAAGTCCTAATGAATGTCTTAGAGTTTTTAATTAAGCTCTTAAAATTCGCAAAATTTCATTTTTCGAGAAAAAAAAATGTTTATTCCAGACAAGAAGCAGAAAAAAATTGTTGTTCGAAAAAAAAATGATACTTCGTGAGTTTCAAGACCTTAATTAGGGTCTCCATAATCACGCGTTAATGTTTCATCCAATTAATATTTTTTTTTGTCGAAGGCAAGTAAATTTCATTACCTTAAGGTGACATGAAACTAGCGTGTCAGGAGTCAATCGTTCATGAAACTTTTCTCCGAACTGTTCATACCAGATCGTTTGAAATTTTACCTCGTAAACAAGGACGTCCTAAGGTACTGACACCCATGAAATGTCAGATTTAATAAAATTTCTGTATAAATGTTTAAAATTTCTAGTAAAAAATAAAATCTCGCGAGTTTCAAGACCTACTTGAGGCTTTCTTATCCATATGGTCAAATTTGAAGAAAAAAAAAAGAAAAATCGGTACACTCAATTCGGAGAATACTTTCACGAACGAACGCCACTTTCATATCACCTTAAGGTGTACTCCACAATGGTACTTTATCGCCCAAAATGCCACGTGGCGATTCCGAGTGGCTCTCAACCCCTCAAAGGTCTGAGACTCGTTGCTCTGCCTTGTACACGGACCCTTTAATTGCCCGCAACTTACGCAGAAACCAGAGGGATGTACGCAACACGATATGCACCCTCGGTACGACTCTCGACACTATCGATGTCACGATGGAATTACTATGTGTAGGGAATTACCGTCACCCCTGCACGCATTTACTCGACATCGCACTTGTTCCGGAACTGAGTCATATTTGGTCAATGTGTGGTATAGGGTTGCCCTCGAGAGAAAAAAAAAAAGAAATTAAATCCCGAGGAAATTCGAAACTACTCCTCGGTGTCTCGATTACACGAGGAAGTACAGGGCACTCGAATGTAAGTAACTCATACTCGCCGGAAAATAATTTCTAGTCACAATGACACCATTTTATTCCCTTCGGCAGGTGTAATTACTCGAAACTGAGTTCGCTAAATATTTTTGCAGAAACGCTTTTACTCAACGACCAATAATAATTGGTTTGCCGTTTCATAATTCATGGTAACGCAAATTATTTTCATGGTTGCAATTATACTGGCGATTAAGTCGTTAGTTACATCGCTTATTTGAACGAGTAACGACAAGAGTATTATCGTTCCGTTGCTACGAATTTATTTTCTAATTCCGCAAATCCCCTCTTTTTTTTTTAGAATCTCTTTTATGATTACATCCACGTTTGACACGACTGCAAACATTTTTCCTGCCAGTGCAATTATTACCGTGGTGAGAATAAAACTTTATCAGTGCTGTCCTTTTCCGTATATAAAACAAAATACCCTAATCTCAAGGAGAGTATTAAAACAAACTGAAATTATATCAAATATACATTGATGACAATTAAAATGGCAAAACCAAGAGTTAAATTAAAAAAAAAATGAATGATATCCGATTTAGTCGCCACAGTTGACATAAGAACGAGAGTATAATGTAATCTCTTCTTAAAAGTACATTCATTTTTCTTATCACCCGTTACTCTGTTGTAACAAACCTTCTTCTACAAGAATTTGGTGTGTTATCCTCCACTACTTATAGACATTGCAATTTTAACGATCACCCATATAATATGGCTAAGTTAATAATAATATTAACACTGAATGGCGCCATTTTTTCTCTATAATTTCTGCGCATGCTCCATCGGTTGACATGACGCATTTGTTAATGGGCTTTTACATTATAAGTATATATACTTTATTTTTTATGCTTGATAGACACTAAGCGAATTTTAGACGGACAAGACTTGCGGAAATCCTTTAAACGTTTCCTTTCCCCTTTTCATTTTTCTTTCTTTCTTATGTCACGGCACGCATGGGGCAATTGTGCTGCAATTGACGTAGAGGTGTACCCGGGATCAAGGGGATTTACCGGGGCAACGAGTGGGATGGAGTTGTTAATGTAAAACGAAAGGGATTAAGCGCGTCCGGAAGTGGTCCAGGACGATGAAGGTTTCCTGCAATTTCATCAGGATTAAATTTGTTCCGCCGTTTTGTTGTCGCCGGTACGCCAGGGTTGTTGGTTCTATGTGCAATCCGTCCCGGTACCAATTACGGGCAAAAAGGAAGGAAAAGGAAAAAAAAGAACTAGACAAAAGTCACCAAGCGATTACCCAACGTGACTAAAAACCCAAAATAACCGTGTCATAACTCACCTCCATTAAACGAGAGATGTTGCGTTTCACCATTTTGCATTTTTTCTCAATAAATTGCAATCGTTCATTCCGAAAGTAGATTCGCGCGAAAGGTTTTAAACTTAATATTT